TATATAATGTTTGGGGGCGGGGGGGTCTAAGTAGTTTTCTAGCAAAAAAAAGTCAATTTTTACACAGTGAGACATGTCAGAATTGGCCGGGGGGCTGAAGTGGTTACATTGCAGTTGTTATATTTGCTTGGGTGTTTTATTTTTACTGAGCATGACAGGTCCACTTTAAAAAGCCAGAAGAGGCGAATAATATATGGTTACTGCTAAGTAGATGCGTGGATTGGAACAGCTTCTAGGACACCATAAATCTGATTAATATCAGCAATCTTCCAGGCTGCACTATTACCAGGTGAAGGTGAAGAGCGAGGCTGAGGGGAAGGCTGGAGGGAAGATCTGAGAGAGCCATATATTCCCCTGACAGGGTTAAGAATGGTATAGATCACTTTTATGGTCCCATGTGGCAGACAGGCCTCTCTATGACTTCCCCTTTCATTAAGTCAGGAAGGAAAATTCTGCTCCTTGTTTAATGAAAGGTCTAAAGAAACCTTCCTGTGCTGCCCACTCGAACCCTTCCCAGCCGCCTGCCCTCACCCAACCGGAACATTCTTAACTGTTTAATGGTGCACAGGAGAAAGGATAGACAGATAGATAGATAGATAGATAGATAGATAGATAGATAGATGGATGGACATATGTAGAAATAGAAGGGTAGAAGAAAGGCAAATAGAAATAGAGGATAGATAGATAGATAGATAGATAGATAGATAGATAGATAGATAGATAGATAGATAGATAGATAGATAGATAATAGATAGATAGATAATAGATAGATAATAGATAGATAGATAGATAGATAGATAGATAGATAGATGGATGGACATATGTAGAAATAGAAGGGTAGAAGAAAGGCAAATAGAAATAGAGGATAGATAGATAGATAGATAGATAGATAGATAGATAGATAGATAGATAATAGATAGATAGATAATAGATAGATAGATAATGGATAGATAATAGATAGATAGATAGATAGATAATAGATAGATAGATAGATAGATAGATAGATAGATAGATAGATAGATAGATAATAGATAGATAGATAGATAGATAGATAATAGATAGATAGATAAATAGATAGATAGATAGATAGATAGATAGATAGATAGATAGATAGATAGATAGATAATAGATAGATAGATAATGGATAGATAATAGATAGATAGATAGATAGATAGATAGATAGATAGATAATAGATAGATAGATAGATAGATAGATAGATAGATAGATAGATAGATAGATAGATAATAGATAGATAGATAGATAGATAGATAGATAATAGATAGATAGATAGATAGATAGATAGATAATAGAGAGATAGATAGATAGATAGATAGATAGATAGATAGATAATAGATAGATAGATAATAGATAGATAGATAATAGATAGATAGATAGATAGATAGATAGATAATAGATAGATAGATAATAGATAGATAATAGATAGATAGATAGATAGATAATAGATAGATAATAGATAGATAGATAGATAATAGATAGATAGATAGATAGATAGATAGATAGATAGATAGATAGATAGATAATAGATAGATAATAGATAGATAGATAGATAGATAATAGATAGATAATAGATAGATAGATAGATAATAGATAGATAGATAGATAGATAGATAGATAGATAGATAGATAGATAGATAGATAATAGATAGATAGATAGATAGATAGATAGATAGATAATAGATAGATAGATAGATAGATAGATAGATAGATAGATAGATAGATAATAGATAGATAGATAGATAGATAGATAGATAGATAGATAGATAATAGATAGATAGATAGATAGATAGATAGATAGATAGATAGATAATAGATAGATAGATAGATAATAGATAGATAGATAGATAGATAATAGATAGATAGATAGATAGATAGATAGATAATAGATAGATAGATAGATAGATAGATAGATAGATAGATAGATAGATCAAGTCCCTAAAAGTTTTGCCTTTAGATTGAGTTCAACTTGGAAACAGAGCACATTTTTTAAGAGCTGTGGAACTGGTTTATCCTCCCATCTGCAGACATTAACAGAAAGAGAACAACTTCAGCCCAGATGTGTCCGGACGTCACACACTGTCCACATCTCAGGAAACAACGAAGAGCATGAATAACTTGACTCCACAACTACGTAACTGAAGAAACCGGTGAAATGTGGGGGAATCAGTTCCTTTTGGCAGCTGGCGGACTTCCAGGCCGGGTTTCACTGGGATTAATCAGAACACAACAGTAAAAGATAAAAATAAAAGATATACATATACTGTAACTGCACATGACGCCATTACTGGCTCGTAACATGGAATTGCCTGAAGATACGGTTTCGCTGCAAGGAACGTATCAGTGGGCTAAGCAAGAGAAGATGTGGAAAACATGTTCTAGGATCTAATGCCTCTTACTCTTTTGTAGCTAGAGGAAGTGTGAGGGTATGGAAGGTTTAGGCGATTGAAAACCAAAACGTTATTGAGCTTTGCACTGGGAATATGGAGCATTACACTATCTGGGCAGACATTTGTGGACACCTGACCATCACCCCAATGTTAGCTTGTTGAACATTCCATTCCAAAGCAGTGGGTGGTTTCTGCCCCTACAACTTATACTCTTCTGGGAAGGCTTTCCAAAAGATTTTGGAATGAGTCTGGGGGAATGTGTGTCCATTCAGTGAAAAGAACAGTGAGGTCAGGTACTGCTGTTGCAAGAGAAGACATGTCTCACAATTGACATTCCAATTCATCCCAAAGGTGTTCAGTAGGGTTGAGGCACCAACCTTGTGGTAACAGTTTGGTGAAGGACTTTTCTGTTCCAGGAAGACTGTGCCTCTATGGTACAAAACCAGTTCCATAACGACATGGTTTGATGAGGTCGGCATCAACTTGAGTTGCCTGCACATACATTCTGGAAAAAAAAAACGGTGCTCCTCAGACCGTTACCCAAGATTGGAAGTACACAATTGTCTAAAATGTCTTTATATACTGTTACGGTAATTCTAGACTTCACTGGAAACACCTGGCTTCCATAATTTTGAGGGATCTCAACATACTTTGAACCATATAGTAGACTTCTCTGAGGAGCAAAACCCGATTTTAATATGTTTGAAAGGGGTGATTTCAGAAGGAATTACATGAAGATTTCTTATATATAAAAGGTATACATACAGCAGGGGTGGACTGACCATTTGGAAACTCGGGCACTGCCCGAGGTCAGTAGGGGGCCCCAGGAGCTGACTGACCATTTGGAAACTCGGGGCACTGCCCAAGGGCCCAGTGTCAGTAGGGTGCCCCATGAGAAGCCCCTGCTACCTTTTTCATAGGCTTTTTTTTGCGTTTGGGCAAGGACACAGGGGCCCCATGATCCCCTATTGCCCGGGGGCCCCATGAGTTGTCAGTCCGCCCCTGACATACAGTATATGAAAATATATATTTTTTATTTGTTTTCCATTGGGGAGATTTACCTTCACTTCTTGTCCATAGCCAAAACAAGAAGTGAGAAAATCTCTGCAAATTAAGGGAATTCCTTGGGGATCCCCAGGTCGCCAGGACTAGTGTCCCCACTGGAAAATTTCACCTCTATTATTTTTTCGGGGACAACCACAAATCTGGGGTTTATTTTACTTTCCCTTTTGATGATAATGGTAAACAGAACAAATAGAGAGAGTGAATCTCCCTAATGGGGGGGCACAGGCTGCAATGAAATTCTAGTAGGTTTTCTCCACGCTATCCAAAAAAAAAAATCTGCCTTTAGTTATACTTTATTATTATAAAATATTATAAATAAAACTTAAAAAATATTATAATAAAATATTTTTTTTTAATTTCATAATGTCATAATACTAAATGATCCTGATAAATATAAACTAAAAAAATATTAAGAAGAATTTTTTTTATTATTTCATAATGTCATAATACTAAATGATTCTGATAAATATAAACTAAAAAATATTATAAGAAAAAATTTTTTTTTATTTCATAATGTCATAAAACTAAATGATTCTGATAAATATAAACTAAAAAATATTATAAGAAGAATTTTTTTTATTATTTCATAATGTCATAATACTAAATGATCCTGATAAATATAAACTAAAAAATATTATAAGAAAATATATTTTTTTTTATATCATAATATCATAATACTAAATGATCCTGATAAATATAAACTAAAAAATATTATATAAGAAAATTTTTTTTTATTATTTCATAATGTCATAATACTAAATGATTCTGATAAATATAAACTAAAAAAAATATTATAAGAAGAATTTTTTTTATTATTTCATAATGTCATAATACTAAATGATCCTGATAAATATAAACTAAAAAATATTATTATAAGAAAATATATTTTTTTTTATATCATAATATCATAATACTAAATGATCCTGATAGTAAAATAGAAATCTGATATTAAAATTCAAATTAACTGCAAATGATGCTAAACATGGTTAGAAAATATCACGGTCAAAAAGAAAAGTCATAGAAAATATTTGGGTTAACAAACCTTCCAGATGGAATCTTGCACTATTAATATACACATTACTTTTTAAAAAAAAATGTAAAACTTAGTACATATATAATCTCATCTATCTTAAATTTTTTTAATTAAAAAAAAAAAAAAAAAAAAATGTGGAATTGTGTACTATAAATAATGTCAACATGGCAACAGGGAATGATCTACAGCAGATGGTTGAGCACAGGACCAACTACAGTAGACAATTTTTTTAAAAATTATAAAAATAATTTTGCTAAAAAAAAATAAATAAATAATAGTTGCTAAATTTCTATGTAAAAAAAGAAATAATAAATATAAAATTTGTGCCAAAAAAAATATGACATGGAATTATGTACTATCAATAACATCAACATGGGCAACCACAGTGGCTAAATGGTTAGCACTTCCGCCTGGCAGTACTGGGGTTGTTGGTTCAAATCCCAACCACAGCACCACCTGCCTGGAGTTTGCATGTTCTCCATGTGCCTGCGTGGGGTTACTCAGGTTTCCTCCCACACTCCAAAGGCATGCTGGTAGGTTAATTGGTTCCTGTCTAAATTGGTCCTAGTATATGAATGTAAGTTAGGGACCAGGGGCGGACTGACAACTCATGGGGCCCCTGGGCAATAGGGGATCATGGGGCCCCTGTGTCCTTGCCCAAACTCAAAAAAATTTGACAAACAGGGACATCAGGTCCCAACAGGGACATCTCATGGGGCCCCCTACTGACCCCAGCCCTTGGGCAGTGCCCAAGTTTCCAAATGGTCAGTCTGCCCTGTTAGGGACCTTAGACTGTACACCTTGAAGTTAGGGACTGATGTACAAATATATATATATGTAAAGCACTGAGTAAATTGGTGGCACTATATAAGTACCTGTAATAAAAATAAATAACATGGCAGCAGGGAATGATTTACAGCAGATGGTTGAGTACAGGACCAACTACATTAGACAATTTAATAGTTTTGAGAAGAGTTAAAGCATTTTGATAAATTTCTATTTCTAATGAAACAATAAAAATTAATTTTTCTACCAAAAAAAAGAAGTGGAATTTGTCTCCTTTCAATAATGGCAACAAGGAATGACCTAAAACAGATGGTTGAGCATAGGATCCACTGCAGCAGGCAATTAAAATACATTTTAAAATAATTGAAGCATTTTTTAAAATTTCCAATCAAAAATGAAATAATAAAAATACAATTTTTTTTGCCAAAAAAAAAAAAAAATAAGACATGGAATTTGTGTACTATCAATAATATCAACATGGCGACTGGGAATGAACTACAGCAGATGGCTGAGCATAAGACCAACTACAGTAGACAATTAAAACACATTTCATAAGAATTAAAGCATTTTGCTAAATTTCTCTTAAGAAAATGAAATAGAAAAAATAAAAGAAATAAAAAAAGAAAAAAGACTTGGAAATCATGTACTGTCAACATGGCAACTGTAAATGAGCTACGACAGATGGGTAAGTATAGGACTAACTAGAGTAGACAATTAAAATAAATTTGATAAGAATTAAAGCAATTTGTTAAATTTCTATCAAAAAATGAAATATTAGAAATAAAATTGAAAAACAAATGTAAAATGTTAAGGATAAAAAAAAATATACACCGACTGGATTGGATTGAAGATACAATCTATGTGGCACCTAAATGGGACAGATGAGAGATGGTAAGTTGAGGATGGATAACTATAACGATGAGGGAAAAACAAAAAGAATGCTTACCATATGAAATAATAGAGTACAATGTCCATCAGCAGCATGATTTTCACAATCAGCGATGCCTTACATACACTATATTGCCAAAAGTATTGGCCCCGCCCTCCAAATCATGTGATTCAGGTGTTCCAATCACCTCCATGGCCACAGGTGTATACAATCAAGCCCCTAGGCATGCAGACTGCTTCTACAAACATTTGTGAAAGAATGGGTCGCTCTCAGGAGCTCAGTGACTCCAAGCGTGGTCCCGTGATAGGTTGCCACCTGTGCAATAAGTCCATACCTTGAAATTTCCTGGCTACTAAATATTCCACGCTCAACTGTTAGTGGGATTATAACAAAGTGGAAGCAACTGGGAACAACAGCAACTCAGCCACCAAGTGGTAGGCCACGTCACATGACAGGGCGGGGTCAGCGCATGCTGAAGCACACAGTGCGCAGAAGTCGCCAACTGTCTGCAGAGTCAATAGCTAAAGACCTCCAAACTTGGTGTGGCCTTCAGATTAGCACAACAACAGTGTGTAGAGAGCTTCATGGAATGGGTTTCCATGGCCGAGCACCTGCATCCAAGCCTTCCATCACCAAGTGCAATGCAATGCGTCGGATGCCGTGGTGTAAAACACGCCGCCACTGGACTCTAGAGCAGAGGAGACATGTTCTCTGGAGTGAAGAATCAAGCTTCTCTATCTGGCAATCCGATAGATGTGTCTGGGTTTGATGGTGGCCAGGAGAACAGTACTTGCCTGACTGCATTGTGCCAAGTGTAAAGTTTGGTGGAGGGGGGATTATAGTGTGGGGTTGTTTTTCAGGGGTTGGGCTTGGCCCCTTAATTCCAGTGAAGATAAGTCTTAAGGCGTCAGCATACCAAGACATTTTGGACAATTTTATGCTCCCAACTTTGTAAAAACAGTTTTGGGGTTGCCCCTTCCTATTCCAACATGACTGCGCAACAATGCACAAAGCAAAATCCATAAAGACATGTTTGGGGTGGAGGAACTTGAGTGGCCTGCACAGAGTCCTGACCTCAACCCCATAGAACACCTTTGGGATGAATTAGAGCGGAGACTGCGAGCCAAGCCTTCTCCTCCGACATCAGTGCCTGACCTCACAAATGTGCTTCTGGAAGAATGGTCCAACCTTCCCATAGACACCCTCCTAAACCTTGTGGACGGCCTTCCCAGAAGAGTTGAAGCTGTTATAGCTGCAAAGGGTGGGGCTAACTCAATATTGAACCCTACGGACTAAGACTGGGGGGCCATTAAAGTTCATGTGCGTGGAAAGGGTGGGGCTAACTCAATATTGAACCCTACGGACTAAGACTGGGGGGCTATTAAAGTTCATGTACGTGTAAAATGCAGGAACCCAATTCTTTTGTCAATATAGTGTAGGTCACACTATGAGCATTTTTTTGCAGTTTTTTTCAAACGCTGGCAACAAGCTCTAATATGAATTATTTCATTGCAGACTGTTGACACCAGGATGCCATTCTTCGGAACATATGGAAAGTCCAACATTTTTGCATTTTCACCAACCATTGCAGTATATGGACACTTGTAAATCTCCTCTAAAATGTTTGTAAGTGCTCATGAGATGCTCATAAATGCTCATTAGAAGCACTTATGAAAGTCTTCAAAATGCTTCAAAAGGCTTAAAAAAAGTTGTAAAACAAATGAGAAATGCTCTGAAGTGCTCATAAAATGCTTAAAAACACTCATAAATGTCAAGGCCTGAATGCTAGTATATGCTTGCCATGTTCAAGGGCTTCTGGTGTTACGGAGACCTTCTCATATAGCAAACAAAATAAATGAGTAAACTATTGTTTTTACTTGACTTAAAATGAGCCTGTGCTCTGTCCATGCAGGCCAAACCCATAAGTTCAATGTAAAGCTGGCCCTCCACAGCACCCTAAACTTACCTCTGCTTCACTCCCACCATTGCTCACCACCGGTTGAGAAGAAACAAATTCATGTATAAGGTCCATTTGGACTCTATTCCTACTCGATGTGATGGCTCTTGGTGCAACCAATTTCTAAGCACTAGCGCTGTCATGTGAGGAAGTGGAATGAGTCACATCATTCCCCATTGCCGCATTGTAGGAAGGTGAGGGGGGTGGGTGCATTAAATTGAACCAGGTTCTTAGTTAAAGCCCAAGTCAAGTCAAAGCCTTAATTTAGTTTAAAGTATGGCGGCTAAGGGTTAGAACCTTCCCAAAAGGGAAACGGAAAGCAATAAGAACTTCAAGGAGGTTCTCCATAATTAAATGGATAGAATGCCCCATCACTGGTGTCAGCAGGAGGAATAGTACCCCACTGTTGGTCTCAGTAGAAGGAATGGTTCCTTCAATGGGAAGAATATGGCCTCATATCAGTGGGAGGAACAGTGCCTTGCAGGCCGGATAAAGGTGAGCAAAAGGTTACATCAGGCCCATGGGTTTGGAGACCACTGGTTTAAAGTATAGTGAGGAAGAGTTAGAACCTTCCCAACAGGGAGATGGAGAGCAATAAGAACTTCACAGAGGTTCTACTCCTTCCCCAGGTTCTACTGAAAATGTGTTTTTATTACTTTCTATGATACTATTGGAAGTTATCCCTTTGGTTCCTGTTCCAATGAACTAATAAAAAGTAGGGGTAATTCCTCTCGGAGGGGACAGGGCATTATTGGTGTGACCTCATACACTTAAATGGGCCACATTTGGTGGCAGTGCTGATATGCGGCTTAATATTTGCAACTCCTGCAAATCAAAACAATACAGCTATAGCATGTGTACAGCCAAGAGTGGCTGTATTGGGGGGGGGGGGGGGGGGGTTCATCAAAACTGTAGCCATCTCCTGGACACCTGTATAAACTAGCCCTTACAGCCTGTTTTCTTTATCAACTACAGCCTAAATTGAAAAGCCAGTCTCCTCCCAGCATGCTCTTGCTCTCTATGGGGAAGCAGTAATCTGTTTGCAGAGTTCTGCCCCACCTTCAGCTGATTTAGAGCCATGGATTTCCAATTAGCAGGGGAGAGCTTTGCTGATTGTAGAGCTATCGGTCTGACTGGGGCAGTTGTGGGACAAGGTCGCCCAGGGCAAAGATGCCAAGCTGTGCTCTCTCTCCACCACCTTCCTTCTTCTGTCAGTGCAGCACTCCTATGTGTCTGTGTACAACACTGCTGGCTTCTGAATACAGCAGCACTGCACTGTCAGAAAGGAGGAGGAGGAAAAGAGAGGACACAGCCTGCACTGCCTCCCAGCTCTCTCCATCTCTCCTCACCGCCTGTCAGCCTTGTAACATAAGGAAAGCACCCCCATCCCTACCACGGTGCACAGAGCACCTGCTGCTCCCACCCATCCTCTGTTGTGGCCCTGGTTGGGGGGGTGTTGGAGCTTTGGACCTTCTGCTTCACCACAAACCACTCTGCAGCTTCTAGCAGGCCACCGACTTTTCTACTAGGCTTTGGCTGCTTTGGATACCAATGAACTGTACGCCATGGAACATTGATGTACCTTGAATGTATTCAGCTGACTTAAAATGAGAGTTAATTTGGGTTTTACGAAAAAAGGTCATGGTTTTTAGGACAGTGAGGTGCACATTTTTTAATGGAAAACTGGTTCATAAGATGCTTGAAAAAGGCCATCTACCTCAAATTGGAACAGGTTACCCTAAGGGGTAGGGGTCTTCATTATTATCTGCCATCCTCATACTGTATGTCTTTGCTCTTTTAACTTCTCTACCTTGCATTTGGACAACAAAGAGCAACTGTTTATAGGTTCACCACGACAGGTCATAGCTCCACCGACGGCCAACCAAAGCATACTGCCAAGCCACTTAGTTGAAACTCAAGGGGTTGCTACAGAAAAAGCTCCATTGCCCTTTTCACTTGCTTTTATAGATGAGGCCCATGGTTTGGGAATTATTGTCGGCTGTGACTCACATTTTTTAATTCCCAGATCTCTCTTGTTTCTCTAATCCAGCCTGCAGGCAAAAGCTTTGTTCCTCAAGGACTGTAAAACATTACTGCGGTTTGAATTTACAGCTCATGTCAGTGGAAGTAACTAATGCTTCTCCTCAGATTCATTAATTGCTTACAAGAATATTAATATTGTCTGTGACCTTAGTCTACATCCTCGAAGAGCATTATGGGTGTTCAGCATGTGTTTCCCATATTGACTGGTGTAGGTTGAAGACGGGCGGGTTTTATAACGCATGGTAAATTTCTGGTTGGTGAGTAGAGCCGAGGCCTGCTTTTAGAAGACATGAAGAAAAGTCCAACTTCTTTGTGTTGCCTCTACGTGCCATAAAGTAATACAGTTCTGAGCCGCACTCCATACCAATGTAGCTAGATGGTCCTCATGGTGACAACAGATGTTGTCAAGCAATTTCTCAATAGAAGGAAAAAAGTCGCCAGCACCCACATTGTAGATCCAATATAAACATGTTTTATTCACATCATGTCATATGGGTCAAATAAAGCCATGTTTTTGGGGCTTCTCAGAGTCCCTTCCTTAAAGTGAGATAATGACTGCCGCCATGTCCCTTGAGGAAGGGACTCTGCAAGGCCCCAAAACGTTGGCTGTATTTGACACATGTGATGTGAATAAACCATCTGCAGAAATCTAGAAAGGGACTTCTGGTGGCTTGTTTTCTTCTATTGTGACCTCTACTTATCAGATCATTGGTGTAAGTGGAGAGTAGTGGAGAGGTCCTATGTCACTGTCTTTACTGAGTGAAGTCCATGCTGGAACTATGCAGGCACTGTCCAGAAGGAAATCAATCTGCTAATTGCTTAAGAAAACCCTAAAAACATCTTGAGGATTCTTAGTTGGGAAAGACTGGACACTGTCTCTATTGAGTGAAGTCAATGCTAGAACTGTGCAACCACCATCCAGGAGGAAATCAATCTGCTAATGGCTTAAGGAAACCCTAAAAACCTCTTGAGGATTCCTAGTTGGGAAAGGCTGGCCACTGTCCCTATTGAGTGAAGTCAATGCTAGAACTATGCAGGCACCATCCAGGAGGAAATCAATCTGCTAATTGCTTAAGAAAACCCTAAGAACCTCTTGAGGAGCCCTAATTGGGAAAGGCTGGCCTACAGTTTCCAATGACGAAATAAGCCATGCACACTGGTAGAGATATAGAAAAGGCCAGTACTGTGTTTATTACAATGGGGCCAGTACCCAGGGCAGCAAAGTTGGAGATATCTCAGTATTAAAGAATATAAAGGGTCAAAACTTTTTATTATAGGAAAGGGAAGAATCGCATGGTTAATTTTTGGGGTATATATCTAATTGGGGGGTCTCCCTTTACCTCCTGTCTCAGAGATGCAAAAGGGCATAAGAAGAAATCTCCAAAAAGTGAGGAGAATTCTCTTCTATGACAATTGCTTTTGGAACAGATGTCCCTGAACCCATCACTGATGTCAGTTGGAGTAATAGTGCCCCATCATTAGTATCAGTGGAAAGAATGGTGCCCTATCATTGGTGTCAGTGGGATGAATAGTGCCCCATCATTGGTTTCAGTGGGAGGAATAAGGCCCCTTCATTGGTGTCAGTGGGAGGAATAGTGCCCCATCATTGGTGTCAGTGGGAGGAATACTGCCCCAATTGTGGTATCAGTGGGAGGAATAGTGCCCCATTTTGGTGTCAGTGGGAGGAATAATGCCCCATCATTGGTATCAGTGGGAGCAATATTGCCCCACCATTGAATAGTGGGAACGTAAAAAATTATGCCCCACAGTTGGTGTCAGTTGAAGGAATGGTGATTCATAGTTGGAGTTGGTAGCAAGAATATTGCCTTGTTGGAGGAGTAATACCCCAAGGGCTGGATAAAGCCAAGCAGAGGGCCACATCCATCCTGCCAGCCACAGTTTGGAGACCACAGGGCTATATATTTCAAACATAGTTGTGCATATGATATACTGTATCCAGGGGCAGACTGACAACTCATAGGGCCCCTGGGCAATAGGGGATCATGGGGCCCCTGTGTCCTTGCCCAAACTCAAAAAAGCCTATGAAAAAGGTACCAGGGGCATCTCATGGGGCCCCCTACTGACCCCAGGCCCTCGGGCAGTGTCCGGGTTTCCAAATAGTCAATGTATCTGTAAAGCAGAACCCATGCTGTCTGCAAGTTTTCATTTTAGCCGTGTTTTTGTCAAAATAATTAACATGACACAAAAGGGCATACCTTGTCCTAAAGGGGCATCATTCAAGTTTGCCTGGAGTGCCACGGTGCCCTAAAATGCTTTAATCTGTATTTCCATAGCACTCAGAGAGGAAACCTATGCAAGCACAGAAACAACATGCAAACTCCATGCAGATAGTGTCCTGGTCAGGAATTGAACCAAGGACCCCAGTGCTGCAAAGTAGAAGTAAAACCTAAGCCACTGTTTTGTCCTGTCCTTCAACAACCTCATTGAAATACTGCAGAGCCATGACTCATAGGTCATACCAGACCCACTTTAGACCATCCTAGACTATAGAAATGATTAGCTGGCTAAATAGCACAATTGTTTATGCTCCTCTAAAGGTTCCTTTACGTGTAATAATCTATTAAGCTACATAAGTTTTGGAACCAGTTGAAATACAATTTTCATCCTGCTGCTTTTTCGCTTAGTAATAATATCCGGGAAGTACGAGAGAAGAGATAATCATAGACTATATAAAACTGGATGAGGTCCAAACGCAATATACAAGCCATCAGTAACAAGACAAGACATAAAAGCTTTTGTTACATGAAATTTAAATGCAGTTCTTATACCTTTGTTGGGTGTCATGGTAGTTCCGAAAATCCATACTTCCTTCGGTTTTGGCTGTGGCGGTTCAGGCTTTCTTCCGGTCTTGGCATCATCCAGGGTCACCATCTACTTCCTGAGCTGAGATGATATCATGCCTCTGGACTGCTTTTTAGTGGTAATAGGTGGAGTTTTTCAAAAAATGATACTGCTGTTGTATATGGTGATTGGGGTAAGTGTTGAGGGAGCACTCGGTACAAACGTTCATAACAGTTTAAGTCCCAGTCTTTATTGATCAAGAGAAGCCAACACATTTCAGGGGAAATGCTTCCCCCTTTCTCAGGGCTGGAGTTATGAAATGCTTCACCCTTCCAAAAGGCTGGAGCAGGGGCGGACTGACAACTCATGGGGGCCCCGGGCAATAGGGGATCATGGGGCCCCTGTGTCCTTGCCCAAACTCAAAAAAGCTTATGAAAAACGTACCAGGGACATCTCATGGAGCCCCTCACTGATCCAGGGCCCTCGGGCAGTGCCCGAGTTTCCAAATGGTCAGTCCGCCCCTGGGCTGGAGTTGTGAACAGTGTAAACTGTCCACAGATGTTAGGGCCTCAAAAATGTTGGCGCCAACATCTTCCAACAGTTTACAGGGCATCAAATCAGACAGCTCAGATCCAGCATCATTATACGTTTCCTAAATGAATCTCACGTATAATCTAATTGCATCCACAAATCCAGCCCTGAGGAACGGGGGAGGCCTTCCCCAAACCATGTTGGCTTCTCTTGATCAATAAAGACTGGGAATTAAACTTCTTAGGTTTAAGATTTAAACTTGCTGGAGGTGGCCGGAAGAGGTTTGGGCAGGGGAGATAAAGAGGCTGCTACCGGGTGCCATTTTGGTTGTGGCAAAAGTAAAAAAAAAAGGAGAGCTTCCAGGTGAGAGGTCATGGCCGGTTTGAGTGCACGGTCCATGCTATGGTAGGAGGAGTATTGGGGAGGGGATTGAAGGTGTCAGAAACAGGCTGGTGGGCATGGAGGACTTTCACTTAAAGGGGAACTCCAGGGAAATGTAAACAAATACGTATCCAGTGCACAGTGCTATGTTTTATTTAAATGCTGCCATAAGGATTTTCCTAAATTTTTTTGGTATTTTTGGAACCTATATACTTTAAAGTACTGACTGTTAAAGTGTAACTAAAAACTGACTGTTAAAGTGTAACTAAAGGGAAACCTTTAGTTTTTTTTTTTTTTTTTTAGTTTTGGATAGAGTGGAGAAGAATTAGAACCCTTTGCAGGTTTTTTTTTTTATCGCATATATCATGAACCTGCCTCTCACCTACGGGTCTCTGCCTGCCGCAACTTGCCACAACAGTGACTGAAGCAGGCTAAATATAACTAAAAGAGAAACTGGTAGTTGCCATTTGTAATTTGTTTTTTTTTTTTTTAAATGGGCTGCTCATTCTAAAATGGCAGGGTGTTATATGTTGGAGGACTGGCCGAAGAGGTGGATGAGAAGATCCTGCACGCAGCCTTCATCCTCTTTGGGGACATCACAGACATACAGATCCCTCTGGACTATGAGATAGAGAAGCACAGAGGATTTGCTTTGGTGGAGTTTGAGCTTCCAGAGGTGGTCGTTTGGAGATTGTCAAGAACCTTTTTTCCTTGATTGGGATCCATTTTGGAGGATATATCTTACCTCAAAAGCTTGTTTGACTCTTAAGCCTTCTCAGCTAGGAGTCCATTTAATTTGGTGAGTGCGGACCATATTGGAAGTCACGGATGGTGTGGGCACGTTGGATTTCCGTTGGCACCGTTTCTGTGATTGGAGCACTATTTTTCATTATTGATTTGGGACAGTGGAATTTTTTCACATATTTTGTTTCTCATCAATATATATATATATATATATATATACTGTATATATTTGATTCACTGTTGATTGAATAAATACATTTTTGGTTTTATTTATTTATCTATTTCAGGTATTTATATAGCGCTGTCAGTTTACGCAGCGCTTTACACATATATATTCACATCTGTTCCTAACCCTCAAGGGGCGTACAATCTAAGGTCCCTAACCCTCAAGGGGCGTGCAATCTAAGGTCCCTAACCCTCAAGGGGCGTGCAATCTAAGGTCCCTAACTCTCAAGGGGCGTGCAATCTAAGCTCCCTAACCCTCAAGGGGCGTGCAATCTAAGGTCCCTAACCCTCAAGGGGCGTGCAATCTAAGGTCCCTAACCCTCAAGGGGCGTACAGTCTAAGGTCCCTAACCCTCAAGGGGCGTACAATCTAAGGTCCCTGACCCTCAAGGGGCGTACAGTCTAAGGTCCCTAACCCTCAAGGGGCGTACAATCTAAGGTCCCTGACCCTCAAGGGGCATACAATCTAAGGTCCCTAACCCTCAAGGGGGGTACAATCTAAGGTGCCTAACCCTCAAGGGGGGTACAATCTAAGGTGCCTAACCCTCAAGGGGCGTGCAATCTAAGGTCCCTAACTCTCAAGGGGCGTACAATCTAAGGTCCCTGACCCTCAAGGGGCGTGCAATCTAAGGTCCCTAACCCTCAAGGGGCGTACAGTCTAAGGTCCCTGACCCTCAAGGGGCGTACAATCTAAGGTTCCTAACCCTCAAGGGGCGTACAATCTAAGGTCCCTAACCCTCAAGGGGCGTACAATCTAAGGTCCCTGACCCTCAAGGGGCGTGCAATCTAAGGTCCCTAACCCTCAAGGGGCGTACAATCTAAGGTCCCTAACCCTCAAGGGGCGTACAATCTAAGGTCCCTAACCCTCAAGGGGCGTACAATCTAAGGTCCCTGACCCTCAAGGGGCGTGCAATCTAAGGTCCCTGACCCTCAAGGGGCGTACAATCTAAGGTCCCTGACCCTCAAGGGGCGAACAATCTAAGGTCCCTGACCCTCAAGGGGCGTACAATCTAAGGTCCCTAACCCTCAAGGGGCGTGCAATCTAAGGTCCCTGACCCTCAAGGGGCATACAATCTAAGGTCCCTAACCCTCAAGGGGCGTACAATCTAAGGTCCCTAACCCTCAACGGGCGTACAATCTAAGGTCCCTGACCCTCAAGGGGCGTACAATCTAAGGTCCCTAACCCTCAAGGGCGTACAATCTAAGGTCCCTAACCCTCAAGGGGCGTACAATACAATCTAAGGTCCCTGACCCTCAAGGGGCGTACAATCTAAGGTTCCTAACCCTCAAGGGGCGTACAATCTAAGGTCCCTAACCCTCAAGGGGCGTACAATCTAAGGTCCCTAACCCTCAAGGGGTGTACAATCTAAGGTCCCTAACTCACATTCATACATACACATGCTAGGGACATAAAAGAAAAAATTGGGGGGTAGAACGAGCGCTGGATGCAAATGGTGAAAGTAATATAGCCGCTAGCATAAAAGGCAAACCTCAAACAGCCTCCTGATAAAAAGCTAAAACATAAAGTATGCAGCGCTAAACACAAAATAAGACAATAGCAATAAAATCAAATGTAAGATAAAACACAGCTGAAATGGATACATTGGTATAGAAACCAATAATATAAATTGTGCTGCAGTATCATAAATCAGATCAAGGTGCATAAAGTGACAAAGGTGCCAAAGTCAATAAATCAATGGATATAGCCAAGTGACATGGGAAATCCGTGACATCTGTGTGGTATATAGTGTGGCTGTTGATTGTACTAACCAGATAGCGCAAAGTATCGCGCGTTGGCGTAAAATGACCTACTCCTGGTCACTGGATCAGAGACACTGTGTCAAGGTCCTACCTTTTCCCTGAGGTTATGTTACTTCATGTGCTGGCGTCCATCTTGGATTCTGCTGTGCATGGTGGGAATCCTTTTATGCCTTCAGGTCTCTGAGGTCCACCCCCCAGAGGGGCGTGGCTGATGACATATAAGCCTGTGGCCCGCACATGCTCTTTGCACTTGTTTCTTGTGTCTTTGTGTTGCTATTACTCTGTTCTGACTCTCGTGACTCTCCTGGTATCTGATTCGGCTTGTGACTTGACTATTCTTTGTATTCTCTTTTGATCTGACCCTCTGTTGCTGAACCCGGCTCGTGACCTGTGATTCTCGTCTGCTGTCCTGTACTGTTTTGTCCTGTTGTTGTTGACCCCGGCCTGTCTGACTACTCTTTTGTCTCTTCCACCAGCTACACGCCATTGGCGGCAGCCATTACCGCAGCTGAGGTGTCTCGCGGGCCGCGACCTGGTTCCTGGCTGCGTCAAGTCCATCCCCACCATCAGGGGCCCTGGTGAAGGGCAGCCTGGGACTTAGACTCCGCGCCTGAAGGACTTCGGTCTGTGGGTGGTGGTTGTCGTCAGCCAGTGCGTTACATTGTTAGGCCTGCCTGTCCGTTCCTCGGCTCCTGCCCTGACATTACACAAGTGCCATGAACCCTGACGGTGCAGGCACGCCTTCGCTCCCAACGCTAGTCGCCAGACTCGATCAACAGGATCACCTGTTGGATCAGTTCGCTCAGGCGTTGCAAACCCTGCTTGCACGCACTGCACACCTTGCCCCTGGTGCTATTAGGCCGGTAGTCACTCCGGTGGTCTCTCTCGCTGCTTCTCTGCCTATTGCGTCCACCACCTCGGTGGCTGCATCAGCGGTACCCAGAGGTATGACTGGTTCTGCCCCTCTTCCACAGCGCTTTGGGGGTGAGCCGAGTCAGTGTCGTGGGTTCCTCAACCAGGTGGGTATTTATTTTGAATTAATACCCCACGCCTTTCCATCTGAGAGGTCAGAGGTTGGGTTGCTAATTTCACTACTCTCAGACAAGGCCTTGGCCTGGGCAAATCCCTTATGGGAGAGGAACGACCTGGTCATTCAAGATTTTTCCGGTTTTGTCGATGCCTTCCGTAGGGTATTCGACGTACCGGCTCGTTCCGCCTCGGCGGCCAAGCTGCTCATGACATGCATCAGGGTTCACGGACCGTGGCCGAGTACGCCATAGAGTTTCGTACCCTGGCGGCAGAGGTCGGTTGGAACAATGAGGCTCTGGTGGCTGCGTTTTCCCATGGTCTTTCTGACACATTGAAGGACGAGATTGCAGCTAAGGAACTGCCTGTGGTGTTGGAGGAGCTCATCTCTTTCCTGATCCTGATTGACACCAGGCTCAGGGAGAGGCCTTCACTCAAGGAACGCCTGCGGAGGCCTTCCAATCGACTGGCACCTGCGTTTTCTGTCCCACCCGTTCCTCCCTCTCCTCCCACGCCTCCTGGGGATAGATTGTCTGGTGGTGAGCCCATGCAGCTGGGGTTTGCTCGCCTTTCCGAGGGAGAGTGGGGCCGCTCGGCGTCGGGAGGGTCGCTGCCTGTACTGTGGTCTTGGTGGGCACTTTCGGCAGTCCTGTCCGGTCCGTCCGGGAAACGCTCGCACCTGAGATCCTGTCGGGGACAGATCTTGGGTGGAGTCTCCTCGTCCCCGGCGTTCCGCAGAGATAAGCCACTGATCACCGTTGTCCTCTCTTGGGCGGAGGGCTCGGTGACGGCCCAGGCGTTGGTAGATTCTGGGCCGGCGGGTTGTTTATGGACAGCTCATTTGCTGCCCAGCACTC